TTGGTGACCAACGTGCTGGGCAAGCATCGCCACAAGTTCTTGCGGGCGGTGCTCGACGGCTGCCTCGCCCAGATACTGGAGGACATCCAGACAGGGGGCCGGCCAAGGCGAGGGGCAGACTTACGGTCCCCGCGAGAACGTTCTTATGGAGAGGGCCAAGAGGCAGGGGCGACCATGCGTCGCGGGCATGCACGACCTCCAGGAAACATTCTACAGCGCGCTGCTGCAGCTCATCCACCAAATGCCTGGGGAAAGGCACGACGCGGAGGACGTCCTCAATACCGGCGAGGTGCCCGCGTGGATCCTGCCGCAGACGCAGCGACTCCTCAAAACGCCTGGGCTCCTTGACAGTGCGACGGACTTCCCCCGCCGGTCTGCCTTCGTTGCGGAGGGGCGCAGCAACCGATGGACACCGCATCGGCATAGTGCAGCGGCAGTGATGCACAGGAAATGTACAAGGCCTGGCGTGCCTTTAGCAGGTGCGGGGTTCAACATATGTTTCCCCAGGGTCCACAGGATGTTGACCTCTCTCCTGCGAGAGAACGGCATTCACCGTCGCGGCGAACCCGATGGGCGAAGCATTCACGCGCGACGGCGACGACGACCACCACCACGAGCTGCAAGTAGAGCCCCAAGGCCTCTCGATCGCCGGTAACCTCACCAGTCACCACGTCTTCTCCCGCAGCAGCCAGGCCGAGCGAGACACCGCAGTCAACTGCGAGAGCGCCCACCTGGCCGCAGCCACCTTCGGCATGAAGCTCAAGCTCGCCAAGTCCATGGCGAAGGCCTCCTCGTGGGCCTGGCCACAAGGCACACGGGGAAGCCTTCTACCAGCGAGAATCCAAGCACATCGAGATTCCAGTGGCCACAAGCGTCGTCGAGATCGTCAGGCACCACTGCCTCCTCGGCGCGATGATGACAGACGACAGCTCGCCAGGGGTTGACGTCGTCCAGGAGGTCAACGAGGATGCTGCAACGACCATGCCACGCCGCGAGGTGCACGAGCGCAAGCAACTCACACACACGACGCGGCTGTCCTCGCGGATTTCGCCATGCTCTCCCAGTTGGCACGCCGCTCGGGCACCTGGCCGCCGCCGGGGCCCTTCGACGCCCACAAGTTCGAGGCCCAGTGCGTCGCCAACTACGCTGCCGCCTAGGGCGCAACCTGGAAGCAGAAGCGCGACAAGCTGATCAGCAACTGCCAGATCTTAGAGGGGGTCGGGCGGCCCACCAGCGAAGCCTACCTGACCCTGGAGACTCTCCGGCACTTCGCAAGAGCAGATAACAACGGGCCCATCTACCATCGGAGGCTGCGAGCGGAAGCACGGGGTGCTCAGGGCGGCTGGGCGGAGGCAATGCGACGCGACATCCCATGGCTCCGCGAGCGCACTGTCCCTGACGAACGAGCTGGCCAGTACCCCATCGACGATTGGAAAGACTGGGCCCGCACCGACCGAGCGAAGTTCGTCAACCGCGCCAGGAAGATGCCACATAAGAGCACGGCTCGCAGCATAAGACCACGACCACCGACAACGATGGCGGAAGCGGCTTACCGCCTGGGCCCACGCACGCGCCATCCCAGCATTCAGTGGACAAGAGCCGGCGCGCGCCACGACCTACGCATGCTACGAGCGTGGGCACACCGAACCCACCTAGCAGCGACCTCGAGCACGCACCACGCGGCAACATGCCAACGCCAACCATCCAGCCACACTGGTGCAAGGCACTCTAATTATGCCTGGGCTGCGCGCGCGACTGCCACGCCGCCCGCCGCATCGTTAAGCACCCCCTGGAGGTCAAGCGCTGCGCCGCCCACGCGCGGAGACGCTGCCGACGCCTTTGCCGGATCAGCATGGGATCAATCAGCAGGCGATCCTACAGCAGCAACAGCCGAAACGACAAGCGGGACGGCCCAGCGACTGGGCCGAGCGACCATTCCAACAAGCCCAAACACCAGAGTTCGACGACGACAGTGACCCCATCGGACGACAAGGCCAGCGCGGACATCCCGCGCTACAGCGATCCACCGCCACCCATCGCTCAGGTCCCACGCCCACCGCAGGCATCCGGCATGTACATTCTGCGCCTATTCAGTGGGCGACGGCGGCTATCGGACGTACAATATTGGTGCGAACAGCTACCGGTAGCCAGCAGCCACTGGGCAGGCGCACTGTCTTTGGACGTCGCCAAAGACGAGACCTCTGGCGACCTAACTAACGAGCCCTCAGTGGCTAAGTGGAGGCCTGCGCTCGAAGAAGGACGGGTCGCGGCGGTGCTGGGAGGGCCGCCATGCGAAACGTGGTCACGTGCACGCCACCTACCCTACCGCCCAACCAGTGGAGGGGCAGGCCGCCGCGGCCACTCCGTTCGGGAAATAAACTCTAGCGCCTTCGGCATCTCCGAAGGCCAGAAGCAGAGCAAGCCAGACTGGGCAATCAACTATATCGCACACAGCTCGAGTTCCTCTACGCCTGGGCAGTGTACGACGTACTTGGGATTCAAGGGCATCCTGCCGATACGCGAGAGCAGCGCGTGCCCAGCAGTTGGCGGCTGCCTGAGACGACCCGCTCAGCAGCTCAACCGATGTCGACGCCACCAAGTTCGACCAACGCACCTGCGGAGCAGCATGTAAGAAGACCACCACCCCTAGCGGTGGCATTCCCCGCGCTACGCACGCGCTTCCGAAGCCTCCCAGACGTTGGAAGATGCACTCACACCACACGCCGCATCCAGGAGCTCGCAGGCGTGGACGAGCAGGGAAACTGGAACACAAGTGCCGCCAACGAATACCTGCCCATAATGTGCCAAGCGAAAGTAGCAGCCCTAGCCACCCAAGTGGCTCAGAGATTTGCCGCGGGCCCAGCTGACCGACACTGGCGCATCGAGCCCGACTGCCTCCACTTCTACCAGCCTCTCGACCTATACTTGACGCGCGAGATGCGATGCGACCATCGCGGCACACACCTCAGATGATCCATCAAGAACCTCGACCGATACGAGGCTCGAGATTGATCCAAGGCTGACGCCTGGCACCCACCGCCGCCACCACAACCACAAACGACCCGGCTCAACCAGCAGCTACCTCCTTCGATCCCCTTACCCCATCCCTGACCACCTTGCTACGATCTGAACGGCATGCTCCTTGCACCTATACAAGCGAACCCCTGTTCAGTCAGGCCGTGAGGGCTGGAGCGGTCAACCTGAACTCGCAGCAAGGGCTCCCTTCCGACGCCTCAGACCACGCGCTAGCAATACCAACCCACAACTACTAACACAGCAACCACTCAACCGACCCACCACCGCATCAAGCCCACCGACAAACATGCACTACGATACCTGACCAATCATCACATCAGCACGACGACCAATACTCCACCAACCAGCACTCGACCAAAGCAACAGCATCGCAACTGGCATTCAAGGTGCATGAGGCAGTCCAGAACATGTCCCGGGATACCTGCTTACCTACCCGGACACAGCATGCCGACACACGGCACACCAGCAAACCCTTCACTCACCGCCACACGCCTTCTACTAGCCTCCCACGCCCACAGCAGCCAAGACGCACGGCCACGGCAAACGCAAGTTCTACACCACCAACGCATGGCTCGTGTATGCCGCGGCGTCAGTATGCAAAGTCCTGGGGAAGCCCCGAATGCGTGGGAACACCCCAGGGAACGTCGCCACATCGAGCTGCAGGCGTTAGGGCGCAAAGTCCTGAGGAAGCCCCGAATGCGTGGGAACACCTCAGGCTCAAGTCGCCACGTAAGCGGACAATCCCCACGCAGGCCGACCACCCACTAACGCCCATCACTCAACCACAACACTAGCCAACAGACCCGTCGCGGACGCCCTGGAGAGGCAAGGATCAAACTTCGAGACGGGCTCGAGGGCAAGACAAGTACTGCCCGCGCCCGCCAGGGGGATGGTGAGGGGCAGGGTGGGGGGACGGCCACCACCCGTGCCTCCGCGGTCCGCCCTAGCTCGCCACCCCCACCATCCCCGCGTTGGAGGAGGAGCGCACCCGAACGCCGACCAGGCGGAGCACAGGGCAGATGCGACTCAGCCCAGCACAGCACAACCAACACAATGCCTGGGGTTCGCCCCCACCGAGGGCTCTGTGACCCCTAGCCATAGCGGGACGAGGTGGGACCGCACTTGAAGTCGGAGCATGGAGGTCACGATGTGCGACCCTCAGCCCCACGCCCAACCCAATCAAACACCGACCACGACCCAACCCATCGACTGCCCACCCTATGAGCATGACAGCAGCGAAGACCTCTGAAGGCTCCGTGCGCGAAAGGTGGGTAACCACATCCGTCTGGCCTCCTCACAGCCCACGCAGGAGAACATGCGGGGCACAGGCCAAAGAACAACGAGGCTCAAACCAAAGGACGCGAAACCTGACAAGGCGTGCGAGAAAAGGTGGTGAGACGCCACACCCGCACGAGCCAACAGCCAGACCTCAAGGAGCGGCCGAGCTGCGTGACAAGCAGGACAAGCAGGACAAGCAAGACAGCGCTGCCCCAAAGCGTGCAAGAAAAGTGGACAGGCGCCACATCCGCACGAGCCGATACGGGCATCAGGAGTAGCTTCTCGCTGGCAGCAATAGCGCGATGCGCCGAAGGGTTGCTGCCAGCAGCCTGCGTAGCAAGCAGGCCGCCTCGACACCAGCAGGAGGAAAAACCCGCAAGCCGAAGGCGTCCACTGCAAAGACAAGGGTTGCCCAGCGGCCAGCAGCTGGGAAAGGCAGCTGCTGGACAGAAGAGGTGCCCAGCGGCCAGCAGCTGGGAAGAGCGGCGTCCGTCGGCCGTCGGCCGCCGATGGCGGCCACGCTGCGCTTCGGGGCACCGACCCCCTACGGCGCCTGACATAGCGGGAAATAGCGGGAGGAGGAGGAGGAGGAGGAGGAGGAGGAAAAGGAGGAGGAGGAGGAGGAGGAGGAGGACGACCCCCTCCGCCTCCAACTGATGGTGGTGGTGGAAAACAGGCCCATGATCTGAGCCCCCCCCGCACGGAGAACGGTGAGCAGGATGAGGGTTGCCGCACGTGGCGGCCGCTGGCCTGCGCAGCGACCGCGCGGCGCCCTCACGAGCGCCGCGACTTGGTGGACCGCTTCTTCTTCTTGAACGACTGCTGCACCTTTCGGGGGGAACGAAAGAAGGGGATAGCAAAGGGCAGGATAGATAATCAGCTCACGCAGCTGATTTTCTCAGCGCCTCCTGGCGCCAGGAGGCGCCCAGGTATCGAGGAATGGGCCCGGCGGCGGGGCCGAAACCAGCTGCATGCAGCAGATTTCGTAACCCCCCCGTGCCCGATCCCCGCGTTCGTCCGGCCCGAACCTTCCCCCCCATCTGTTTTCAGTGCGGACGCGGCCGGAAGAACACCTGGCACGAAGCCCAGCCCTGACAATCCGCGCGCGAAGTGAGCCCAGAGCATCAGGAGTGCAGCAATTCCGTGACGGCCGCGGGGAGCCATCCCGCAGCGCGCCAAGCGGAGAAGCGCGAGGTACTCACGATGAACATCAGGTGTCGCCATGTGCGTCCCGACTGTGTCAGCTCGATCCAATCCTCTACCAGAGACCCCCAACAAGTCCAAATCTCGAGGGCACACCAGGCCCAACTCGTGTGACACACTCCGGGCTTCCCCCTCCCAACCCCTGCTCCTCCGAATCCTCTGTTTGCTCCCACCCCCAGCCAGTGAGCAGCCAAACCTGCAGAGGCAACGACCAGGTGGTGCATTCACTGCGAAGGTGCCTACAACACATCGTCGATAGCAACAACCCCTTACCTTCGCTGCGCGCATGTCGATGTGAGCCGCCACAATACTGGCATTATATCGTCTAGACCTCGTCATATCTGGCACCCTCTTGACTTACCTGGCCAGGCGCTCTGTGCTGCCTCTCGGCGGCCGTCGTGGTGCCAATCTCGTGGGGACCCAGCCGCACGCTCGCCCACGACAATGTCATAACATTGAAACGCCCCCCCTCAAACCCTACACTCCGGGCCCCAGGCCTCAGGCTCGACCATCACATCTATTATCGTCACGGTCAGCGGGCATCCCTACTCAATCCACTGTGACTCGGCTCCGCACTTCACTGGGCTTGGAGAGAGGAATTCGTTGTCAATATGCTTCGGGGTTGGTGGGTCGCCATGGGGAACATACATCGAAAGCATACTACCGCAACTCCGAGACTAATGCGCACGGCATCTGTCGCACGTTTGCCACCGTCACCGTCGACCTCGCACTCTCCTCCTCTCCTCACCACTTCCTTCCACTACTCAAAGAGCCCTTAAGGGGCCTTCTCCTCCTTGTCTTCATTCTCTCCCTCTCCTTCTCCTCCTCCTCCTCCTCCTCCTCAGTCTCCTCCCTACCGCGCGGACGAGGGTGAGTTCGAGTTCGCGACACACCTCAATTCACACCGCTCGCCGAACAACAGCGGGGCGTAAACTCGACATCCCCTCTACCGCGCGGACGACGACGAGGTCGAGCCCATAACCTATCCCAATTCAGACCAGTCGTCGGAATTACGTTGCTCCTACACTTTCTCCTTCCTGCTGAGCTGTTGCCGCGGCACGTTGGCGGGATTTGCCACAAACAGCTGGACCTACATGTATGTATGTACGTTTGCTTCGCACATGTACACATATGTAAATGTGTAAAATAACACACATACACACATACGTGTGCATACGTGCGTATATATGTACACCAGAAGCACGCGTACGCTTCTCGCTCGGTTAGGTTCTAGCGCAATCCAAATCAACTTACAAGGCTGGATGAGGATGAACATCATCCCGCAATAATCACCACCTGGGAGTGTACTCCCTGATGAACGCCTCAGGAATCGTTGAGTAAGCAGGCCCTAGCGTGTGTTGCTGCTCTGAGAAGATACACCGAGCTGCTGCCCGAAGGTAACCTTTGGGAGGCTTCGGGAGGCGCGTGGCCTGTGGAGCGTCTTTCGAGGTGCAAGCCCTGGGGCCAATGATATGGGGCAACTCAAACCATCTAAGGACTGCCAACGTCAGTCGAAGCCGTATCGGGCGCGGCCTTGGGGATCCCTGAGGCCGTACGGTACCTTGCTGGGAAGCGGTTAAGATGTCGCACGACATACGGTGCCAGACAGATGACGCGGCTCACTCTTCTAAAGGAGGCGATGTCCAGAACGATTTCATTTCATAGACATGCGTGCAGGGCGATTTCCCCCAGCTGTGTTCTGAAAAACGCCACGGAAGGCTTCAGGAAGGCGCGCACGGCAACCACGTGGAGGACCCAAGGCAACTTGTGGGGGGATGCCCGAGAACTCCTAACAGCATGGGGAATCCGTGCTGGAAGCCCCTTTGGATGCCTTCGCGGGGAAATTCTTGGGGGGCTCTTGGGGGTGGGGTCTCTTCGGTTTTTGGTGCGGGTCTCCTGGTGGTCTCTTAAGACTTCCTGGGCGCGCTTAAAAAGGCCTCCCCTGGGCTCTGGGCGTCTAGGATCAAAATGTCGAATGGGGTCGGCCTTGAAAACATGGATTTAAAGGACTTCATTTTATTTTTCATGCTAGGCCTCCTACCGCTCAGTGTGGCAGGATTCTGGACTAGGGCGGGTAAAGGAAGGAAGAATGAACGAGAGACGAGGATGAGGGAGGGGGAGACGGAAACGCATGAGGCAGGCGGAGAGAAAGGTGTGAAGGAGAGACGAGGAAGAAGGAATAAAGAACATGACGCAAAGGGGGAAATAAAGAAACGGAGAAGAAAGAGAAACATGCGAAACGGGAGACGGAAAATAACCAAAAACAAGAGAGAGAGAGAGAGAGAGAAAGAAAGAAACAAACATAAATAACAAAGAGACCAAACATCGAAGGATGGGGGAAACGGAAACGCACTCTGGGGCACACCAAGGCCTGGGGCAAGAGGGAACGGAAGGGGATGGGCGAACTTGAAAACAGATATTTGAGGGAATGTCAACTGTTTTAGTTGGCTCTGGAGGCCACCGATAGCATCCACGATTATTCCAAGAGGCCTCCACGAGCTCCAGGTAAGCCCTCGAGAGGCCAAACTCATTGCACACACTGAAGAACACTGTGTTTGTCGGTGTTCTCGCATTTCCGCTTTCGACACGCTTTCGAAGCTTGCGCATGCACCCGAAGAGAACTCTGCACTCTTGGGCTGTCTCGGAAATGTCCGGGGCCGTCTTCGGGCTCTCTGGGGAATCACGTAGACGACAAGAAAGGTGGTGCCGGAGTTTTGCTGGAAATGGTAGCGGAATGGGTGCAGCCCCAGGGGGGCTAGTTGATTTATACGTTAATATATATATATATATATGTATACATATATGTGTATATATACGTATGCTTGTGTGAATATATAAGTGCATGTGCAATAATGTACATATAGGTATATGTATGTATCAACCACCGTGCCGCGAGGCACTGCGTGGAGTGTCCGCAAGTCCTCTGAAGTCCTCATTATTGTATTTTGGACTCTTTTGGGGGCCTGGAGGCCCAAGTCTCAGTTACCTTAGAGATCTCCGGCGTGTCTTCTGGGGTGTGTCGCGTGTTCCCAGAGCCCCACAGAGAGCCAGGATGGACAGAAGTGGGTCCCAAGAGGCTTCCAAGACGTTCCAACAGGGCGTCGAGACGGCCCAAGAGGGCGTCAAGACGCCCGATGCAGACTCGAGACGGCCCGAGAAACTCCCAAGGCGCCCTAAGATTGTTGCGAGAGGCACTCCACGAGGCCACATGATTGGTTCTCCCAAAGTCTGTGAAATGATTTTATAGTTCTCGCCTTTTCTTCCGACGGAGACGCATCAGCCTGGCGCGCACCGCGGTGAACAGAAAAAAAACTGCACTGGCGGGGTCTCGTGCCAGAGACACAACCGCCTCGCGCGCACTTATCTGGTCGATTGCCGAAGAATGTGCGCGCAAGGTGGAGCGACCAGCTCTTGAAAGTAAAGAAATTCATCCAACTCACTGGGCTGACCGCAGGCGGACGTCACATGCAAGCCAGCATTGCAGCCTGACGCTCCTTGGCGTGAACGGCACACCTACTGAGGCGCCGACAAAGTCCGTTTTCTGAGAAGTCGAACGCTAACAATAATATTAATGGAATAGTGGGCGCAAGTTGTCCCGATGACCAATTTTGCCGATGGGCAAGAATTCCGCCCCCAATCGTGGTTGCAGCGCAACCGCCGGCTGCAATTCTTGCACGTGCGCGCGACGACGGCAATCGCATATACCAAACAAAAAACAGCCACGGCTAAGCGAACAAAATTCACCCCCTCCTTGCTAACCCCCCTTCCCCTCTTCCTTCTCCTCGGTTTCCTCCTTCTCCTCCTCCTCCTCCTTGCCCTCCTCCTCTCTTCTCCCTTCTGACTTATAATTTGGCTTTGTCTTGGGGGTCTGCGCTATTGGGGGGGGTAGTTTAGGGGCTGGCTCACGAGCAATATTGTATTTCGCTTCCACGGCCTGCCGCACGCAGCGTTTGCCGCAATTGATTTGCATCTCGGCCCAGCTACCACTCATTATATCAGAGGACATTCGCAAATCGCAAACCGCCAATAACCGATGAATGGACGACTGAGGTAGCGGGCTTACGTTCAAAGCAAGCGCACTCACATAACGGCTTGCCAGGGAACTTCGGGGCTGCGCACGCGCGGCAATAGGCGCGCGAATTTCCATGCGTCGTTCGTGCGCCAACTCGTACACCGACCCCCCCCCCCATCGCTTTTCACATTGATGTTGCTTCCCATGCGTTGCCCATGCTCCCGGGCGCATCGGGGCACCTAGGGCGCGATCGGAATCGCGCTGGCGCGTCGTCGGGGCGACTTGAGGCGACCCCTGGAGCCGCCTGAGGTCATATCGGCCGTCTTTGGAGACGTCTTGGGCGCATCGGACATCTGCGCGGCCCGAGCCCCCTAGCGACACGAGCAGCTATACTTGTAGAAGACCACATGCTGCGACGCAAGCGAAACTCCGACATGTAAGGACTAGATGCAGGCATGCCATCAAACCCAGAACACACGCATGCCCCCGCTGCAAGATACCAACATGCAATGCAAATGCATACTGCGTGAAAGCGAACGCTACGCACATGCACATCCCCCCCCCTCCCCCAAGTCAGACCGGATATCCTGGGGCAACGATTCCTCGGCCACGC